CCGGTGCCGAGGTGGTTTTGAGCTTCTGAAGGGTGGCTCGTACTTCGTATTCTAGTATCGGGGAGTCGAGTTCTTCATTGGGTGATCCACAGTAATCGGGGACGGTGGTGGGTATCTGGTTCCCTATGTACCGGGTCTGCAGTTCTTTATGGAATGCATCCATGTCACCGCGATGGTGATGTATGAGACGGCTCATGTTGCGGCGATGTTCTGCCTTCGTATTTTCTTGGTCAAGCAGGTGTTTGAGAAGGTGCCAGGTCTTGGCCATTCCCAAGCTACCCTGCATGTTGTCGCATAGTTTATGCCATTGTTCATGGGTGAGGTTTGTCGCGCTTCTCCTACAATATCTCTTCATTCCTTGTTTGCATACCTTTTCCGCAACTGGTACCTGTAATCATGGTTAAACTCTCATGCATGTTAAACGCAGTATAGAGGCGACTTAGGTATCATAGTGGAAATTTATGACGGGAACGGCTCAGACTAGAAATGAACGATTTGCAAAAACACTGCAAACGACTTATTTTTCGCGGGCTCAATATTTCGCGATTCAGGTCAACGCTGAAGTTTTGGAATAATACGCGGGTTTTAATTTTCGCCACGTGTTGGGATCTTGATATAGCTTCCAATGTGTTTGCATTTTACCGTAATTGTTTGCGGGTCCTACGTTTCGCGAATCGTAGGCGATTCGCGAAATTCGAGAAAATTTGGTTCTTGCGAAAATTAAGTCGTTTGCAATATTGAGTTGCGTGGAGCAATTCCGAAACAAAAACGTACCGACTAGGCTAAATACACTCTCAGAGAAACTGAAACTGCCACAAGCGACTGAGCAAGATGTTGACAAAAATTTCGTCACGTTCGTGCGGAACGACGCGCGAATTCAGTGGAGACAAAGCTAGAGAGCGTAAAATAATAATAATAAAAAAAATATATATAGACATATTGTTTAAAAAAATCGCAAAAATATAGTGTAATACCACTCGATTAAGGCTAGAAAAGTACGCCGAAGGACCAAAAATAACCTAGTCCCCCCCCCCCCCCTTCCCCCCCCCCCCCCCCTTTCTTCTGTGACGACTGACACGAGTGACGGCCTAGCGCGCTCCTTCATGGCGTGCGGGCCGGAGCGCCAGGAAGAGGGCTTTTTTGTGGGGTGGTGTTCCTTGGAACTATTGGGCGGGAAATCGACCTGTAGGGGGCTTTATCGAGCTTGTTGTCCCCACAGCCCGGTGTTTACTAGCACAGCATTAAAAATAAAGTGAGCTTCGTCATGCTCGATCTGGGCACAAGTGCTTCTCTCTTACCGGCGCTTAGGTCGCACGAGGAGCGGCCTTCGAATCGTCATCTTCGATATCACTGATCAAAAACAAAAAGGAAATTGGAGTTGAAACTAGGCAGGCGAGAGGTTAAGAAAATTGGATTCATTGTCCCTGCAGCTGAAGCGTGCCGCTAGAGGCGTGACTGTTCCATTTCCTCCCCAATACGCGTCCCGGCCAGTGGCTATGTAGGAGCCGTTTGGCTGGTAATTTAACGTTTTGCGCGGTTTTTTCAAGCTGATGCCGCCGGCTCCTGAAGCTTTTTTGCATGTTTTGCGCGGTTACAGACGCCACCAGCCTCTTGAGCCTTTTTCGCGGCTATTAATGCTTTCGCATTAAAAGGCGATAAATGACGTGCTGCTGGTCATGGTGGGCCCTGCAGTCACTGATGGTTTAGGGAACGCAAGACATTTCTAGATTAATCCCGGGAACATGTTTGTAATATGCAGAAGGTCGATGCGCAAGAAACGACACATGATTTGCATGATTTGGTCTGTAATCCTTCCATAATTTCAATGAAGACGGCTAAGCCTATTCTTTCAAGCTCGCTTACGCAAACACACCACCTTAGGTTTTCAACGTAGTGCATAAGATTCGTGGCAAATCAGTTTAGTGGCAATGCTTACCTGCCTAAAACGGAAGCGTTTTGTGCTGAGTCAGTTGATCTGACACATGTAAAGGCATCATCCGTTTACAATCGCCATATGTCTTAAGGGTGGCGGCCCCCTATTGGTCGCTAGAGTCACGAATACATAGGGACAATTTTTTTGTTGCAGTTGAGAGTAGGGCAGTGCATGGACAGTTTTGATCAGGGCTAATGCACGCGCTTCCTTTTCATTCACTGCATGGTTACAACAAGTTCTGCCCGAGAATAGACGCTTTCAGGCAGCTGTGCATAGGCGCCGCCATAACCGAGCATCAGTTTTTGTTCCCTCTTATTCCGTTCACTCCACTTCATCATTACCACAGCAGGACAGGTTATTGCCACTTAGAGTGTTACTGTTTCCTTCTCCCCAGCGTAGGTCTCTCTGAAGGCTCGTCAACGCCCGCCTCAGTGGCTCGGCATCTCGGTAAGACGAAAGAAGGTCGGTTATGGCAGCTCAAATTGACGCGCGCGGAAAGCGTCTATAGACGATTGTAAGCAAAGCGACTGCCGCCACCATGTCTGGTCGTGCGGACAAGCCAGTGCGATTGCAGCTTGCCCAAGCAATGTTCACGCGCAAGTTAAATGCGCTCGCATGCATGTTGCATGTGTTGTGCGCTGCATGTTTCATGTCTGTGTGCATTATATTTGTTGTGTTTGTGCTACCTGTTCTAGCGTATAAAGTGTGCATTGTCTGCTTGCGCTCGAGTGTCCGGGTGTACCTGCAGTGTCTATGTGCTCGTGTTTACACGAATGCGTGCCAAGGAGTGTGGTCTACGTGTTAGGCACACGGTCTCGCCGAATTTTAGCAGACACGCCAAGAAATGGCACTGCTTGAGCATATATTCGCAAGGATATGTTGAGGCAGGTTTTCTTTCTATCCACATGAAAACTTAATTCTTTCACGTGTGTGATTATAAGTACTCTGCGTGCCTAACTTAAGTAACTCCAGAATATTTACGATCACTTTGTAACCTAGGGAATATCTTTGTTCTTGAAGTGAAGACCGTTTTCAACGGTAAATTCATAGTTTAATTTTACAAGAACCGCGTAAATGCCAAAATAAAGTGAGCGAGTACGATTGATGGCCTTTCCCACACTTATAGAAAACTTCTTAACTTATTGGTTTTTAATACTTCAATTATAAATGATGTTTTGGTAGTGGAGGTAACTAGAGGGGGAAAATCTAATAATGACTGGGCACAAGAAGATATGCAAGTCTATTGCGAAAGTCCTTTTTACGCCCCCTATCGTGTGCCAAAAGCAAAATGTATAATTCTGTTTTTGTGTGTGGTAAGCTGAACCAATACCACCCGGAAGACAATGTCTGTGCCATTGTGTCTCAATCGCCATCCCGGTACTCTTCGTTCTCTTTTATGCCTCGCTGTCAACGCTATGCGCCGAAAAACTGAGGGAGACAATGAGATGAGTGCGCGCGGGGACGTCAGAACGTCGAGCTCCTGCTGGGACGATTATAGTGGGTAGACCTACAGCTAGCTGCATTTGACTGCGCTGGACTCGTTGAACGCGTTCAACTGCGAGGGCCAAACGCCGAATACTGGCGTTCCGTTCTAACCCGTTCGACGAGTGCAGTGAAGTCAAAGGCAGTTAGTTACCTATAGGTCTACCGCCCACTAACCATTCTTAGCAGAGCTCGACGTTCTGACGACCCCGCGCGCACTCGTATCCACCTCTCTCTCAGAGTATCGGCGCATATCTGAATGCAAGTTAAGAATGCGCCAGATAAATACCACCACGTACCAGCTACGGCATAAAATCAGTAGTCATGACGAGTTCTGCGACATATGGGCTTTTAGAAGAGAACGACGCCGGCGCAGTGAGTTCAAGGGATCGGGTTGGGACTCTACTCGTGGGCCTGCTCGGATAAACGTGATTTTTCTGCGCCCAGCTTGTCTTTTCCTTCCTGCGGTTGAGCAGTATGCACCGATTCATGTAGACGTAAGCGCGACGTGCGTCTTGGTAGCGGACTATTAGTGTTTTCCGGAGGAACACTGACTGGCGGTATTCATAGTGTAGGAGGAGCTTCTGGCGCAAACAAGCTCCAACGCTGTTAAAGAGACTTGCGTGAGCCATGGATTTGTTCGGCACCTCCTTCCCACGATAGTGATTGCGATTGAGGCACAAGTTGAAGGTACGTGCTCTAGCAGCAGTGCGAGGCCGCACCACTGTAGAAACTACAGAAGCCGACTCAATATATTACGAGGTGTTATCAAAACACTCTAGGATTATTTCTGTACCTTAACAATAGACAATAGAATGGTGATGCGCGCGCAGCTATCGAAAACAGAGACCTTCGTGTCTCTTTTTGTCGAAGGGCGCCGCTCTATGTACACTTTTGGTGCGCGACACGAGTTTTTCTGACCACGCGTGCGAGAGCAATGGCGATTTCAACATGTACCGCAAACAAGAAACGAGAGAAGACTTTAGTTTTGCGTCAAACTCGGTGAATCTGAAAATACACATAGTAATATTTCGGCAAGCTTACGGCAAACAAATATTCAAAACTGTGACGCGTGCGCGGTGTTTTGAGTGGCGCAAGCGCTTCAAGAATGGTAGAACATTACTGGAAGACGAAGAAATTATCGACACTCCCACCTTGATAATGTTGAGGATTTGTGATACTAAACTAAGGCGTAGGACTTCTCGTCTACGTGGTATTCTGGAAAAAACAAGGTTTGCTGCAAATTCTATAGAACAAATTAAAAGTATACGTGGTAAGGATAGGATTATGGCAGAAGTCTATGTTATACATCGGGTAAATTTCAATCGTCTTGACAGCCATGAACAAATTTCGTCTATATTACTATCGCGTTCGTCAAGCTCAAATGCACCTAGTATCTTAGAATTTGTATTGAATGAATCTAAAGGCCGAATTAAGACGAGGTTTTGGCTGCTGATTACAGCCTTTTCCTGAAAAAATAATACTTTTATAAAGTGGAATCATTTGCTCTAAAAGTGTGTCGTTCCGCTTCCATTTCTAACCGCCACGTTCGAAACTTATATATCGTTGTTTCCTTTCTTTGCAGTACCAGACGTCCAAGCGATATTCTTGCCAAGCTCGACCCTTCAGCAGAGGCAATCATTGAACACACTGCAAGACAAAACAACAAGCCCGGGACAAGATAATCGTCACGACACACACTTCAATCTTCAAGAACTAACTATAAACTTTCAATACTCTCAACGCTTTTACGAACAGGCACGTTCATCAGCGTGCATTCTTGTGTTCACAAGAAGACATCCCTAATGCAAATGCCTAGAAAAAAAACTACAGAAGCGTATTTTTCACAGCTGTGAACTAAATTACGTAGATAGGTCGGAATTAGTTTCTCATGATGGAGAATATGAGCATTCACGTAGTATTTGGCCTTATTAAGGTTCTGGTAACTGTATATGACATTTGTACATTGCCAATTTATATGCTACTTCAGAGGCCATGGCACTACTGGAAGAAAACAAGGCAGCGCTTTGGAATTCAACTTGATCAGAATGACCCTGCATCTCCGTACGTGAAGGCTAAGACCTTCAGGGCGGAAAGATTTTCCAACGTAGGGACACTGAACGAGCTAATGACGGAAGCCTTCCGAAAGTACAACGACCGACCGTGCCTGGGTACGCGCCCCATCCTTGGAGAAAGTGAAGAACAAAAGGACGGAAAAGTTATCAAAAAACTATCTCTTGGTGACTATGAATGGCTCACATTTAGTGATGTAGACCACTTGGTTTACCTAATTAGTCGTGGTATCATGACTCTAGGTTTAAAACCTCGAGAATACTTGGGAATCCTAGCCGAGACCAGGCAAGAGTGGACTCTCACAGCGCTCGCCTGCTTCCGCGTCAACGTCCCTCTAGTGACGTTGTACGCAACATTGGGCGAAGACGGCATTATACAAGCTCTCAACGAAACGGAAGTGACCCACCTCGTAACTTCTTACGACCTGATGCCGCAAGTTGCCAACGTTTTATCCAAGACTCCTTTTATAAAACGCATCATCTATATGGAAAGCAAATTCAAGAGGACACCGGTGGTAGTTCCAAAAAACGTAGAGGTGATCCCGTTTTCTGAGCTTGAGAAGCGAGGTAAGACTGCGGACGAAAATTTCAAAGTAGAGACGCCGAGAAGAGACGACGTGTTCATCGTTATGTACACAAGTGGCACCACTGGCATTGCCAAGGGAGTCATGATAACCCACAAAAACATCATGGCAACTTTGAAAGGGTTCAGCGTCAACTGCCAAACTTTTGGCACTGGTAATGACGACTCACACATTGCCTACCTCCCCTTAGCTCACATCCTAGAGCTCTTAGCTGAATGCCTGACTCTAGGACTGGGAGCCAAGATTGGCTTTTCATCTGCTTTAACACTCACTGACGCATCCACTGGACTGAAAGCCGGATGTCTGGGTGACGCAACTCTATTGAAACCCGTTTTCCTGGTGTGCCCGCCACTTATTCTCGATCGCATCCGAAAGAGCATCACAGATATTGTGACGGCCAAGGGGCCCTTCTTCGCCCGCTCCTTCGAGTACCTTCTAGCTTACAAAGCCTTCTGGCTAAGCATCGGCTTCAACACAACGATTCTGAACCGTTTGGTGTTTGACAAAATGCGCGCTTTGGTTGGAGGCCGCGTCGCATTTTTAGCCACGGGAGCAGCGCCGCTCTCAGCCGATACTGACGCCTTCATACGGGCCTGTTTTGACTGCTGTCCGATACAAGGCTATGGACTTACAGAAACTGCTGGTTCTGCAGCTCTCAAGGATCTGGATGACAGAAGTTTTAAAAGTATCGGTTCGCCAATCCTCGGTTCCTACATCAGGTTGGTGGACTGGGACGAGGGAAACTATTGCATCACCGACGAACCGCACCCGCGAGGGGAAATAGTGGTGGGAGGAGACTGCGTGACACCGGGGTATTTCAAGAACGAGGCTCTCACTCAGGAGTGTTACAGGGAAGAAGCTGGTATGCGATGGTTTTACACGGGCGACATCGGGGAGGTGTATCCGGATGGCACAGTCAGCGTAATCGATCGCAAAAAGAACCTGGTCAAGCTTGCGCACGGGGAATATGTGTCCCTCGGTAAAATAGAAACCGAACTCAAAACTTGCCCAATGGTCGACAACATATGCGTTTGTGGTAACTCCTTCAAAACATATTTGGTCGCTCTCGTGGTGCCTAATCCAAAGCAACTACAGAACCTGGCTTTGCAAGAAGGTGAAAGCGATATGAGTTTCGGCAATCTTTGCAACAATCCAGCTATTACTAGAGCTGTGGCAAACGCTATCGCAAAGCATGGACACCGAGCTCGCCTACACAAAACGGAGATCCCCGTCAAAGTTAAGCTCTGTGTTGAAGAATGGCAGCCGGACACTGGCCTGGTGACTGCGGCCTACAAGCTTCGCAGGCGTGAAATTCAGAAGTTTTATCAAATGAGTATAGACGAAATGTACGGTACAAACTAATTTAGCCAAGTGATGTGAAGACAAGTACAAATCAAACGACCGACGAATGTCAGGCGTCTTCACTATTATGTCCTGACATCATCCAAAGCAGCGATGGAGATCTTAAGTTTTTCAGTTTTCTTCACTTACCTAGGGAAACGGCAGTTTTCGTTGCTCCGTAAATAAAAAACAATATGTTTCACTAGTACCACAATATGTTCATCCCTCTACTCGAAACTCGATTATAGTAATACTGATTATAGTATATACTGGTGGGGAAGCATCGATGTAGCCGAACAGTCTCAGATTCATCTACTACGGACACAGCCTTCGGCCATATCAGTGTGGTGTCACTTTTGCTCGCTCTTGTACTGCCCTCAAAAATTTCTTATGTCCACTGCGTTCGTTGGTGTCTGTTTCGTGCGGCTGCTTCGCTCTTTGTAAGGTTGAACTGCCTTTTGAGTATCTTATTATGTTAAGCGTCAGACTAGTGGACTCTGTTCTTCCTTTTTACTTTCTTTTTGCTTGGTTTTACTATGACGGCACAAGAACAGCAAGTTGTTCCTTGACACTACTTAGTGATGGACTGATTGATTGATTTAGTAAAAATATTAATGATATTAAACCGTGCTGTTTGTCACCATTTTGGGCTGAAGTATTTATTCCAGCTGAAATATCATCTAATGTTTCTGTAATTTTGCCTAATGGATTAAAGCCGATCTTCTAATCACCAGAGAAAGCCTTTTTTCAAACTCGGTGAATGTTTTAGGGGCGAAGCTCCTTAGGGTCTAGCCTTGTCCGTCCGGCGTCCGTGCTCACATCGATCTTGCTGGTGCTCGTGCTCGTGAGCTCACGTGCTCGTCTAAAACAAAAGAAAATAATGAAAAAAAAAAATTTTTTTTTCGCAGTCGACGGGATTCGAATTTTTGCGGGGAGACCCCAATGGATTTCGAGTCCATCGCCTTAACCACTCGGCCACGACTGCGGGGCGAGTAGGGGGCTCTGAGATGTGGTAGTAACTCAAGAGCTGGGGATGTCATAGATGAAACGTTGCATGTAGCCGCTCAACGTCTATACAGGAGAGGGCGCTGCGGTCAAATGCTTATATAATCGCGTTAAACTTTGCATGCATTGGCTCAACGTTCATAGACGAGAGGGCGCTGCGGTCCAATGGTCAAATGCGTATATAACCGCGTTCCATACCACACATTCTCTTTCATGGATGAAACCGAACGAAAGGCTTGGCATGCTGCGGCTTAGCGTCTACGCAGACAAGCACCACCAGAGCTTCGCCCCAATCAACATCTTTCACCACGTGGAGATGCGGTCGTTTTTTAGAGCGCAGCTCTTAGGCGCCCGTTTCCGGCTTGAGCGGCGTCGTCGTCGCCGTCGGCGTCGCCGTCGCCGTCGCCGTCGCCGTCGGCGTAACCGCGCGGTGCATTATGGGTAAATTTTCCCGAAGGAACCCGAGGTCCTCCCGAGGTCCTCCCGAAGGAACCCGAGGTCCTTCGGGAGGGCCTCGGGTTCCTTCGGGAGGACCTCGGGAGGACCTCGGGCTCCTTCGGGAGGACCTCGGGAGGACCTCGGATTCCTTCGGGAGGACCTAGGGGGGGGTCACGTGACGATGACGTCATCAGTTATGATGACGATGACAATGCGGATGCCGATGACGTCATCAGTGACGTCACTGATGACGTTATCAGGGATGATGACGATGGCGATGCAGATGCCAATGACTTCATCGGCATCCGCATCGTCATCGTCATCATCACTGATGACGTCATCGTCACGTGACCACCCCAAAACCTCGGGTTCCTTCGGGAGGACCTCGGAAGGACCTCGGGTTTCTTCGGGAGGACCTCGGAAGGACCTCGGGTTCCTTCGGGAGGACCTCGGGCTCCTTCGGGAGGACCTCGGGAGGACCTCGGGTTCCTTCGGGAGGACCTAGGGGGGTCACGTGACGATGACGTCATCAGTGATGACGATGATGATGCGGATGCCGATGACGTCATCAGTGACGTCACTGATGACGTCATAAGTGATGATGACGATGGCGATGCGGATGCCAATGACTTCATCAGCATCCGTATCGTCATCGTCACGTGACCCCCCCAGGACCTCGGGTTCCTTCGGGAGGACCTCGGAAGGACCTCGGGTTTCTTCGGGAGGACCTCGGAAGGACCTCGGGTTCCTTCGGGAGGACCTCAGAAGGACCTCGGGTTCCTTCGGGAGGACCTCGGGAGGACCTCGGGCTCCTTCGGGAGGACCTCGGGAGGACCTCGGGTTCCTTCGGGAGGACCTAGGGGGGGGGGTCACGTGACCTGGGGGTCACGTGACGATGACGCCATCAGTGATGATGACGATGGCGATGCGGATGCCAATGACGTAATCGTCATCCGCATCGTCATCGTCATCATTACTGATGACGTCATCGTCACGTGACCCCTCCCCCCGAGGTCACGTGATCTCTCAGGTCACGTGACCCCCCCCCCCCCCCCTTTCGAGGTCAACTGACCCCCCCAGTACCCTTCCCTCCTCCTCCTCAAGAGCTGCGCTCAAATTCGGCGTTACAGGGAGTTGTAAACGGCTTTCATTTTTTTTTTGGTTACATTCCGCTGAAAGACAATTCTACCTGGAAACATATTCTCGTTAGCACCGTGATAGCTACGCATGTATTTAACTTTTCAAGAGGTCGTTTGTCATGTTGGCATGAACCGTTGCCATGGCCTCAGTCTGAGACTCTAAGCAATTCTCTATGCTGCATTACTGTGTATCGACGGTATGCTGGGCTTCTCTAAATAAAATCACAATCCCAGCAGGCTTTCACTTCAGCGTCAGCAATGCATGCGCTCAAGGGACGCGAAAGTTGAGTTGTAGTATAAGCAGATATTGGGGGGGGGGGGGGGGGGGGGACTTTTAGCAAACCGTTATCGTGTTCCGCGTACTTCACTACTCGAGTCATTGAAGCATGTGTCGGGGTCGCGATAAGGTTAATTGAACTGCGTACGTTTATTTTAGCATAGCATTACAGGTTAGTGTGAGTCATGCCGTGTCTGGTCACAATCTGATGGACAGGGGGTCCGCGCGCGGAAGCGGCGGTCAGAGTTGAGGGTCACCCAGCGGCGGTGGCGATGATGATGATCTCCCGACACCTCTCCCCCCTTTGGGAAAATAACACTTACACTTCCCAAAAGCGGTCAGATGGACGACTCACACGACCACTCCTTGTGACGGTAGGTGCCGCGGCCGGTTGCAGGTGTCCTCTTGTTCGACGTGTAGTGCCGGTCGTTGTCTGCACCACGTGAACGGGGTTGAGCGCGCTGGCCCTAGCATGTGGCCGTAAGACGCCGCTCCTGTCAGAATTCTGACCGCAGTTTCAGGTGGAATAGTGTCGAGCGCACGTGCTCTGCGGCGCTCGCCATAGTGCTGGCGCATCTTCTCCTTTTAGAAGGCATTTCTGGAGTGAAAGTCGGTGTGGTCCCAGTGAGGTTCAAGAGATTCGGACTTTACTGGCACGTTTGTGCGCAGTCTTTGTCCCATGAATAGCTCCGCTGGCGCGTAACCTTCGATTCTCTGGGTCGCACGCTGAGCCACCAATGCCGTGTGGAAGTCTGTTGACTTCTTAAGGGGTTCCTTAGCCGCTTGGACTGTCCTCTCAGTCTCCACATTTCTCTGTGGGCAGTCCGGGCTTGGCGTTAATTGGGTCACTCCCCATTCCTTCAGAAACACCGCGAATTCGCGTGAGGCGAATTGTGGTTCGTTGTCTGGTTCGGAAAATTTTCTGCGCTCCATATTGTGCAGATATTTGGTCGAGGGCGGCGATGATGTCCCTGGTCGTCGTCGTCCTCATAAGTTCCAGCTCCAAGAACCTTGAATAGTAATCGGCAGCAATCAAATAATTACTACCTTCGTAAACGAAAAGGTCAATGCTGACCACTTCCCATAGGTACTTTGGCAGTGGAGTCGCCAAACACGGAGGGTGGCCGGGTTTCCGGTGTTCTTGACAAACGGGACCCCTTCGAACGCAGCTGTCGATGTGGAGCTCAATGCCTCGCCACCAGACTGAATCTCGCCACCAGACTGAATCTCGCCATCAGACTGAATATAATTAACGTAAATATTAAAAAGACAACGACTTATAATACATCCCCGTGGAACACCAGTAAGAATACGCTTCGAACTTGACGAATATCCATCAATATAAACTAATTGCCTTCGATGCTGTAAGTAAGACTTCACTCACTGCAAAGCATGCCCTCGAACCCCATATGTATCAAATTTTGCTGGTAAAATTTTATGATTGAGGCAATCAAAAGCCTTTGTGAAGTCTATGAATGCTCCAAGAACACTTTTTTTTTTCTTCGGAAATTTCAAGATGAATTCTTTCTGGACGAGTAGTGCAGCCCCGGTAGATTTATGCTTTAAAAAACCAAACTCAGCAACTTATGCTTAGAGTAAAAATTAGTTATACGTGTATGAAGTACCTTTTCAAGTGCTTTAGAAAATACTGGCGATATGAAAATCGGTCTGTAATGGACCTTTTCCAAATACCGACGGCACCAGGCGGTGGCTGCACGAACCAAAAATCAAGGAAGTGACCTACCTGCGCTACCATCGATAATGGGAGCTACGTTACCAGTTGCTTCGCTCTCTGAGCAGCGTCGCGTGCCCAACGCAACGAGGTAGGCCTAGCGCGACTTTAAAGAAGGAAATCCGTAGCGTCCACCCAAACGTCGTGTTTTTCTTTCCGTCCACTTTCTTTTTTCGTGTAACACAATTATATATATTCTGCAATTACGTGTTCTACTCGTCGATTTACAGCCTCATTCTGAATTTCCTCGATTTTTTCGTGCCGACTTCCACCGCTTGGCATCGGGCGCTCGCGCGTGCGCAGAACGCTTCTCGGAAAAGGTCCATTACCTATAACATTTACACTCCCCTTTCTGTGTAGTACTGACACTTTTGCTATTTGCATTCTTTTAGGAAAAACACCAGTCATCAAAGAAAGATTAAATATATGCGTTAGCACTGACGCTAATAAATGAACAACATAAGTAACAGGCGTTCTTTGTAAGCCATCCACGTAACAAGCTCCACTTTTCTAAAGTTGTAAAATTACAATAATGACCTTAGGTTCTACAACCGGATCTAAAAAAAATCGAGCTGCTGTTTCTATCATCAAAAACACAATACTTTACAGTAACAACCCCGCTTCCAATATTCACAAATTACAGGCTAAAAGGGTTCGCCAAAAAACGTTCGGTTAGTTCAACAACGTTAAGCACTATTTTAATAATTGAAATAGATAAACAATTCCTATTTAAAAGCAAATTTTAACTTCTTCCACGTGACGTCCGTACACCCCTCTGTTGCCTTGAACACCTTGAGGTAGTAGCGTTCTTTAGCACGCCGTAAATTACCGCCAATAAAAAAGTAACTGTTACTAGTTATTTCAGAAAGCAATTTACAGGCTCTCTTAATCATTTCATTTATGCCAAGTGCCTACATATTAAGATGCAGCCGCCTGCGTTCACAGCAAAGAATATCCAGGACGTCCACCGCTTGAACTTCTATGTCGCGGTGAACATTTAAAAACTCTAATCCGAGCGCTCATTTGAAGTGGACGCTCTCAGGTATGTTTTCAACCGTCGTAGCGAAGAAAATGAGCTCTCGGCTTCCGCCGTTGTTACGGGTAGAGACGCTAGGACCCTGAGGAAACGATGAACGTTTGGG